ACATTTTATTTATCTGAGAAACGTATTTTTTACATTGAGATTGTTAACTTTCTTGTTTTAATTAGGGGTGAGCACTTCGGTTTAATGTCAATCAAACATTAGGTGTTCATTTTAATTATATTTTAATATAAATATATATCACACTGTATTAATCTTCGCAGGAGTGTCAACACAGTAACTTGACCTGATATGAGTCTGAATAATCCAATTTTGTTTTTTTTTAGTTAAAATAAAATTTCAAACAGTTCAAGTTTTGTAATTTTGTGTCGATATATGTCATCTCAGACCGAGTTCTGATTTAGTTATAGGGTTGGCAAAGCCAATATGAAAATTACAAGTCATGATGAAACCAAAGTATAAAAACAAGAGAATTTTTTTTGTCAGGTTAGTCGGACGAGCAGCACGATAGGACTAACTAGAAGCAGTCCAAAACATGATTGAAGAGACATGAAATCTTGTGATCAGATCTGGCCGATAAACCTAAGAAGTAAAATTATTAAATTTTTACGTCGCAGAACAAGAACAAGACATTAGATTCCAGTTCTAATTGACGCCTCTACGTCATTGTCATATTTTCAACCTTTGATTATTTGTACAATAGCTGAAATGAAATTATATATTTAGTAAATGATATATAGTTCAAACAATGAGTATATCATCCACAAATAATGTTGTAGATAAAAGAGAAACCGATAGAGTAGATCGCTTAAGAAAGGTCGTGTGAGAGAAGCCAAGGTCGATTTGATTCTGAAAATCCAAAGTGGGAAGAAGAGAGAGACATGGAGAATCCTTTGGATTGACAAAAGACAAACCCCGAGGTTTAGTGCAGTGTTCTTGGCCACTGTCCTATATTGAGCCAAGTGACCAATCCCCGTATATTTTATATGCGTCTATTACTATACGAACCATATTATAATACGTACATGTGTGTTACTAAAAACGACAATTAAGTGACTACATTGAAATTTAGACAGACTGAATCTTGTTTTAGGCTCGGCTTGACCACTTTCTATTTTGGAGCGATAACAACTTCTAACCAATGACTTTTAGTAACTACTGGTTTCAAGTATTATACCCAACCCAATATTTATAACTTTTTGATATTAAAATCTTTTTTTGCCGTTCACCATTAATCGGTGACATGTGACAATAAAAAGAAGATTGCGTTACAGATTTTGTTCAAAGCTAATAAAATGTGTGCATAACGTATCCATCTACGGTTATGAACGAAGAATCCAAATAGAAGAAAGAAACGAGACTTGGTACAAAATAAATTTTAAGGACAAAGATCCATTCTAAAAAGAAGGGCCACCCCTCAAAATAGCAAAACGTTGATAGCTTTATCACCATTAGTTATATAGTATTAATTTGATGTGCGTTACGTTGGTCTTGGTGCATAGCTTTAAATTAATGCTGAGCTCGAACTTTGATGGACAAATAAAGACTAGAGAAGGTCACCGCTTGAGTAATTACTTCTCATAACCAAGTTTACGATAATATAAAAAATTAACGTGTGAGTTTTGAGTTTTCCCAAGGTAATAGTATATCTTGGAGCAGAAGCTACATGGTCGCGCGACTCGTGTGTACTACTCAAGTCATTCTCGTGGACAGTCTTAGTTTACAAGCAAGAAATGTTGGTCTTATATATCTAATAAAAATGTATATAGCTTGCATTAAAAAAAAAAGAACACGAACATAAAATTCATCTAACTGTTTGTTTTTTTTGACGTCTAGATTTATTATTTATTGCAAATTATGAGAACTGTTACATAGACGATTCTACAACGGACAATTCCTTCCGACCCTTATTAGATCCACGACAGACGACACTTCCTTCTCCATGCTCTTGACGGACACCTTCAATGATCCACGACCAACGACACTTCTCTCTCTGCGTAGAATCCTAGCGAACGGCTATAATTGTACTTCGCTGGAGATCTCATGCACACTTGCCTCCTTTAATCTGCAAATTTATTAATAAATCATAATATCTGGGACTCGAACCCCAGACCACTTGGTGTAGAAACATTAGTTAACCCTTGGTCAACCAATGGGCCAAGGTGGCTTCCACATCATCATCATCTAACTGTTTGTAATAAATATATTTAGTAGTTCATTATAGGAATATATATGTAAATCAATATAGCTAAAAACTATATAGCTTATTAAAGTATAAAGAAATTATGAGAATTTTGTAAAATAGCCTAAATTATTATAGATTTTTGAAAAACACATATACCTTGAAAACTAAATGTTTTTAAAAATAATTTATCGAAGTACGTACCATTAATAATACCTTGTATACATATATCAAATCACTTTTCTATGTGTAATTTATATTTCAAAAATTATCAAAAATATAATTTCAGAGACAATCATTAAAAATTAATAATTATCTGTAGAAATAAGTGTATTGAATTATTGACCATTTGAGCTAAGCTCTACCTGACTAGCGTTGATAAGAATACCATGTGAACTGAACCCAAAAGGAAACTAAAAGTTAAATCAATTTGTTTAGGATCTGGTTCCATGACTCATCTCCTTCACTCCACTTGTCTTGAGACCGCTGGAGTGTCCACTGTAATTTTAAGTCTTCTTCAAGGCAAATTGTTTGGTTTAAGAGATGTGAGTTATCATTCATTGCAATATTAACATTAATGAATGGTAATTAATGCCACTATTAAGTGGAGGCCACCAAAGGTTACGATTCTCTAATTTACTAAAGACAAAACGGGAGATCTCTAAACTCAGGCTGTAACTAAGTTTCCTTTTTTCAGTTCTAATTTAATAATGAACCTGTCGTTAACCATGCTCTCTTGGGCACGACCTCTCTCTCCCATAATTAAAAACATTTTTTTGAATTAAGTTATGGAGACTTTGAATATAGATTAAAGTTAGTCCAGTCACTGACACATGCAGTGACATAGTATAAGTTTTCGAGGATATATAGCAAGTAAACCCTTCTGTCGTTAGACGTAGAAAATTTAATTATGGTAGTGATTCTTAGATAATACTATATTCTTTAGTATTCCCTAGAAAAAACGGTCCATGCTAGAAATGATCGTGTAATGTTTATTTGGGTTGCACTTTAACAAAAAAAATGGTTATAATTTGGGTTGCAACGGATGTTAGTCTGCCTTTAATTCTGGAAGCTGATTTTCTGGTTTCTTATAATAATTTTTCGTATTTTTGGTACATGAAACATTGCCGTTGGTAGGTTAGTGTATTTGATAATTCTTAGTGGGATTAGACGTGAATCTCTTCTTTTTTTTGTGTGTGTAATAGTACTCCAATTTGTGAGATACTTTTTAGAAAATCTGTTGAAAAAAAAAAAAAAAAAAAAAAAAAATTGTTGAATCATGTAAAAGGTCGAAACTAGTGAAAAAACAAATGCAAATGGTAGGATAACTTTATATAACTCTAATTTTTTACGGTTTTTATCATACATTTACTCTTCGTCTGTTTTGGCGTTGTTTTATCTGCAGAACTTATACCTCACGAACATATGCAAGATGCATATATGGTTAGATACAGAAAGTTTTCTTGCTTTTTTTTGTTTTCTAATATGTTTAGAAATCATTAAATATCGTACGTATGAGTATTCGTATACGAATATATAAATGGTTTATGTAGTAGAAATACCTAACAGTACACATTAATGTGGCGCCCCTACGTAGAAAAAAATATCCGTTCACTAAAGTGTTATGCTATTAGGTTTTACTTTATAAACAATTTGGTTTTATACTTTCATATATTAATATACTTTGCATAGATATATTTTACAATTACAGATTAACATAGAACTATTATGAAGTAAAAGACAAGATTATTCAATGCAACCGCTAACCCACACTAAGACCATATATGATGCTGATTTTACATGTGCATCAAGTGACTAGTGGTAGTTTAAATGCTTTAGAAGGAAATATACCATTCAGTTCTATAATTTAATTTAATTTACTTACAAGTTTTATCAGTATTCAGTAGTAGTGCTCGAGTAGTGAAACACACACATTTAAAAACTTTTTTTAGCATGGGACCAAATTATTTAGGTTTAAAATCCATGATTGTAACATAAACTTTTCATTTTTAATGAATATTAACATTCTTAGCAAAAAAAAAAAAAAACTTATTCGAATGGACTTGGAAGCCTCGGTAAACACAAAATCAAAATATATAGAAATAGAAGTGCTGGAGGTTCGAGAAAGAAAATAAACTTTGATTTAAACCTAAAAATAATAAAGGCTATAGAAGAGAAAAGATTTTGAAAGACGAACCTGAATTGATTATAGATAAAAGCGGCGACTAGCACTTCCATTAAGCAGAATATGCATTCGTAACATTTTTTTTGATAAATCCTTAACAAACTAACGTGAAATCATAAATCATAACCTTAATCTCAACATGATAAGCCCTGATTACTGCTTTAAAACCTCGCCAACCTCATAAACTCCAAGCCTTAACAACCACATGTGTCCATCGAAGAGGAATCTAATTCGTGGGATAAACATTTTGTTAAACTATACTATACTCCGTCACTGAAACTGGACCTTGAACACTAAAGTGCCATATTAATTGGGTTATACTTATACCATCAAAAATAGCCTTTTTCAAGGGTCTTTATGCCATAATGTATAGTAGCACTCAAGGCTAAACCCGTTTGAGTATATTATTTGGGGAAAAGGTGGTTTTAGTAGTTTTCATATTTTTTTTGTTTTCAAATCTTAAATTGTTTAAACTTTAAAGGATTTGGATACTTTTTACCATTAATTAAATTGTTCCACATGGATCACAATTTTTAAGTTTTTTAACGAATGAACAACCTTACTCTTAGGGCCATAAACCATTTACATAAATCAATGTCAATTCCAAAATGAAAATATTACTTATGTTTACGAAAACGAAAAGGCTTACGATTCTAATTTGGGCTTTGGACAGAATTAAACCCAAAAGAATATCAGCCATGATAAACAAATAACACAGAGACGCATCACACAATAAAGAAAAAGCAGATGGGATGATGATTTACGTTTTATAATTCCAATGAATGGAATAAAATGGAGATCATATGATTTCTTACTGATCCTGTCTTCACAAATTTTATAAGACAGACAAGTCTATAAAAGATGATTACATAGAAATGAGAAGAGTTTAATTATTAGGGCTCTTCCTCAAGGACAGTATCTGTGTCAGCCCATGGCATACTTTTGGGTCCAGGTCCGAGCAGTGGACTCGTACTTGTTCTTGTCTGTCTTGTACATGTGAGCTATCTCAGGGACCAAAGGATCATCCGGGTTTGGATCCGTTAACAAAGAACAGATAGATAGCAGCACCTGTTGCATCACACATATCAGTAAATTGAAGTCACATGGAGAGTAAAACTGCAAAATTATAGTTCTCGTATGATGAAAATGAGGAAGAACAAAAAGAAAACCTTGGAAATTGTCAGAGCAGGACTCCACTGCTCTTTCAAGATGTCGAGACAGATGCTCCCATTGCTATTAATGTTTGGATGGAACACCTTCGTCCTAAAAGCCACCTACATTTTGTCACACCATACAATAGAGCAATGAAATCAAGAAACCACATAGAAGAACATGCAATGCAACCATAGCGGACAATTGAACTCGAAACGAAAATATGATGGAAGATATTAGCAACAGAACAATGATGGCTGAAGTAAAGTTCGAAACTTTTTCGAAAAAGAAGCAGCTATTAAGAGTTGAATATACCTTAGGAGGCTTAAAAGGGTAATCTGGAGGGAAATGGATGGTTACAAGGAAAACTCCTCCAGAATAAGGGCTTTCCGATGGACCCATTATCGTAGCCTGCCAATGAAACATGTCTTCCGCAACGGGTCCTGTCAAAATTTAACCAAAACTTCAATATCAAACCAAGAAAAGCAACAACAAGCAGATGAGAAGTTGGTTAAAGGGGCAAAATTAGAAGAGAACAACAGAGTTTTTTTTCATTTTAAGATCTCATCCCAGATATTCACAAAATGAAACCAGATCTATCAACGAATCAAAACAAGCTTGAACCTTGACTATGATTCATTCCCAGGAAAATCACAAACAGGTGTTACTATGAATCAGAAATTATGAATTGCAGCTGAATTACCTAAAATCAGGGATAATTAGATCTAAACTAACGAGAGATCAATACTAAACCGTCGTACACACAAAAAAACCAGCTCAAAAGAAGATCAAAACCAACGATCTATCAACAATCAGCAATCAGCAACACAATTATTGAATTAAACCGACTTAAAAAAAGGGGTACCTGCGCTACATGAAGTAGGAGGATCCTTCTGCAGATCCTTCAATTCCTTCAAAATCCGTTTCGATGCCATATCCAAAATCCAATTGAAGGGTCTGCAATCTAAAACCAATCCAAGTGTTAGATGGAAAAGAAAAAAACAGAACCCAGAAATATATATAACGACGGGAAGAAAATCCAAAATCATACCTGCGAATTCACGTTTCTCGTTTCGGTTTTGGTTCTTCGAATGTTGGAGAAGAAAGGGTGGGGAACGGAAGAGGAGAAGAAGAAGTTGGAATGTTGTGTGGTCGCGACCACAATAAATAGGGTGCGGAGAGATTCTGGTTCGTTGATTAGTGGACTCTCTCTGCGTTTTAGATTCCTTTATTTTAAAAAATTAAAAATTTCACTTTTTTGGGTGGGCCTAACTTAGCGTTCTACCTACGGCATATAAAAAACGCGGTTGTTCGTATCATCATCATCATGTGGCGCCGATGGTTTTCATTCGCGTCGAAGCGTCGTCGTTTTAAGTGGTTTATTCAAAAGTCGTATGATCGGACGGCTGAGAGTTTTGTAGGACGAATCATTTGACGCCATTTGAATGAATTTACTTTTGCTTTCAAGATTGACCATGTGAAGATATCAAACGTGTTTTGAAGGATGTTATTACATGATTTTGACTTTTTGTATAACCCTTTACGGTGATATATGTGACAAGATGATTCGTTTTGGTTGTGTAGCTATAGTATAAATATGGAGAATGGATTAACATTACTATTTAAGTATGTACAATCACATTAAGATATATTCGACAAATTGATGTTAAGCTAGACATTATTTCCACCAAATATGACCTCACTCGTTAAGACTGAAATTGTGAAGGTTGCGGTTGGTGTGACTAAGATTGCCTATAACTTATAACAAATAGCTTTTACTTATTGAATCAAACAATACTATAACTAAATCTAGCGAAAGAGTAAGCCAAAGTGACTATAGTTTTTTTATATTTCTGCTGGAATTTATTGAAAATGAAGAAGTAATTTATCATCAGTAAAAAGAATGGTATGCAAGTATGCAACTAAATTTTACAATCTTGATGCCAAAAAGAAGAAGAAGATAACTACTCAAAACAATAATTTAGCCAATTTTAATCAGACAGGCTTCATCACATATGTTTTTTTTGTTAATTTGAATTCTGCACCGTGGAACTATCTACATTTACTAAAGGAGGAGATTCTAGATCTATTTGACTATCTTCCGGGTCCAAAACCTTGAGACATCTCTCACTATTTCTAGAACTTTCTTTTGTGAGCTGTTTGAACCATCTCCTCTGCTTCGGTTGCTCTGCACTTATGGCAATGACGACGTCATTGGGGAAGAGATCACGTTGGACAAAAGCATGCATCACCGTCAACCCAAGCACACCTATCACTGTCAGAGTTGCTGCTCCCGACATCACAACCGACAGTATCTTAGTTGCTACTCCCGTGACTTCGTCTGAATATTTGATCGTCGCACTGGCCACTGCCGTCATCGGAAACGTGTAAGCCCACCAAGCTAGCGAGAATCTAATATTTTTGCAATAATTATGTCAGATAACATCTACGTAATTTGGTTTCGTAAATTTGATACTTGCAGTTCAAGAAACAGCTTACTTGAATCCACGGAAAAAGTTAATCCGACAAACCTGAAACAAGAATCACAAGAAGTAAAGCAGTTAATGTTTCTTGTGATACAAGAAACTTAGCTCAGTAAAACTACGTTAATGAAAATATAATTTACCAGAGAGAAGTACAAGAACAAGGAGATGAAGTAAGCCAGGCGCGAGCCGAGATCGAAAGATGCAGAGATCTTGGTCCAGGCCATGGAAGCGACAGCCGGTGCAGCCACAAAGAGGAAAAAAACAGGGTGAAGCTCTTTAGGTAAGGTTTCGTTAGTGGGAAGTCTCTGATAGAGAGTCACAAATAAGACCAAATAATATGCCAATCCCACAGCAAAGAAGAACATTGGTCCTTCTTTCAACCCCATGGATGCTCCTAGAAGTGCTCCGGCAAAGTTACCGACAATCGAAAGGTGGTTTGTAGGGTTAGCGACTTTGGAGAGGCGTCTTTGTCCACCAGACATCCACTGTCCGTAAATCTTCATCTCAAGAAACAAGATGGGAGCCATAAGGAAGTACCAAAGTGTAGAGGGAAGATGTGAGATGATGGAGTGTGGGATTCCAAGCGCCAAGAAGAGGATTGATATGAGAGGAGCGAAGAAGAAATTGACTCGGATTGGATGCCGAAACTCACGGCGAACCGCCTCAAAGTAGAGGATGGTTTTGAGGAGGTAAGTGATAGAGACGGCGAGGAGGAGAAGGAGGGAGATCCACCAGAGCACGTGGTTGATCACTTGTGTCACGTGCAAGAACTTCTCGGCGTTTGTGGTTGCTAAGGTCTTCCACATGATGGCTTGACTGCTTACTCCAAGACACATCCCATACGATGTGATTGGAAACCGCAGAAGAAACGGCCACGTTTTGTCCTCTGGCAAAACTATCTTTTCCTTCTCCTGTTACATGGAAGTAACCAAATTAAATAAGAATGAATCAAAGCATAAGCAGCAAAGATGAATAGTATAATTACCTTGAGAGTTTCAAGTTCGGGGCCTTGAAGAGCATCAAAGTATCTATCAGCGGTTAAAGATTCAGTGATCTCTTTATGATCCTGCAACGAACACTCAGTGGGTTTCCCCCGTAAATTCGATATCTGACGTTCGAGCTTCCCGGACATGGTCCTGAATAGGTCATACCTCTTGTCATGGAAGTTTCTAGAAGCTTCTTGATCAAGAAACATGGCACCTCGGGGCATGGACTTGGAATGAAACTTCATCATCTTCCTTGCTCCGTTTCGTTTCTCTAATCTTGAGAATTCTCCGCAACTGGATTGACGTTGATCTGGGTGGTTTGCTGGAGAAACCAAAGGACTTACCGATCTTGGATTATTCATGTTTTCCCTGTTTTAGTACATAAATTTGGAACTATAATTATAAAGATCCAAATATATACAAACCAAATCAAAACGTCACATCCAACTTTGCAAATGGGTTAGTTGTATATAAACAACGTATTAAAAATAAAACCATGTAAATCACACATACACATAAGTATATAAAATGCTTACAGAAAACGAAGAGAAAGTGACGGAAACAGAAAATGTAGATCTGATCAGTGTTTGGTAAGAACAGAGTAGTAGTAAGTCGGTGTGGCTGGCTCTTCTGTGTATGTGAAGTCAAATAAGTTCTCTGAAAAGGGTCTTTTGTTAAAGATGTGGGCCAGAATTGTGCTGTCCAGATAAAGTATCTTGTCTTTCTCTTTTTTGTTTTTACTAGGTGAGTACCCGCACTACGTGCGGACTTTCACTTTATATTTCATAATTATAAGTATATAAATGTAAACATTAGGTTAGTTTTTGTTAATAGACAAGAAGACAAAATTTCCCCTATAAACGATATTACCCTGATACTAAGCATATAAATCTACTTTTTTTGCATTTACATTTAGATTCCTAATAAAAAAACTGTTCTCACTACATGTTATCTTTTTATAATATTCTTTTATTACTGTTATCTTTAAACACAAAGAAGAAGACAAAATGCAAAGAAGATTGGAGTACCCGCACTAAAATCAATGATCATGGTATTTAGGTACAAATGTTAAGCATTGATAATTGGGCTGTCGTTTCGTTTGAACGACGATGTTATTAGTTTATAGCAAATAAACAAATAGAACCAAACCTTGATAAGCCTTATTGATTTATCGAAACATAAATGTAAAATAATTCTCGTCTTTAAATTTTTATCGTTGCCACTTTTGCAAAAACAACTAAAACAATACGAACTCCATCACTGAAGAACTCCATCATTGAGGATTTTAGTCCAATAATTTGATGTTAGAGGTTCTGACGTTATCTTCACCATTTTTTAATATATTATATAGAAAAGTTTTTAAGAGAATAACATACTCAAAAAATTCCGAAGTATGAGAAACCCCAATAAAATAACTATATTGAAGAAAAAAGAAATAATAATTAAATATAAATAGTATTAATATAATTAAATATGTTAATTTTTATAATATGTATAATTAAATAATATATGTTCCACTAACTTACATTAATTATTAGTGGACACATGTCAAATGTTAAAGTGATGATGTGTCACTCATATGGAGAGAGTTGGCCAACTTTTATATATATGACTAGATGAATACCCACGCTACGCGGGGGTTTGTTTTGAAAATTGTGAAGAAAAAATTATTGATTGTTCAAAACTAAATCTATCCTACCTAAAAAAAATAAAACTAAATCTATCTTATGTAGTTACATTTTTTAAGATTAGATTTATTTTTTGACTTGAAATATAACCCGGGAAAAAGACTTACTTGTTAGCTGAGACCTCTTGCTTGTTCCCGTAATATCTTTCATCGTCCTCATGGCTCTGCTAATTGGTCATAAGATACTTTATCAGCTTTCTCAATATCTATTATGGGTACAAAGTTTTTTTTATCCTTTTTGAATGGGATTCATTGAACTGTCTCGTTTATATTTTCAGGGGATACAAAAGTTCTATCTGCACAATACGGACCTAAAGCAGGAAAGAAGAAGAACGAAAATGCTGAGAAGGCTTGTTTTGAAGTCATAAGGAAGCTTTAAACCGGATAGATTGGTAATCGTAAATGCGTTTAGTTTTTCATCAGGAGGCGTGTTTTGTTGCTTGAGTATGACGTACAAGTGATTCTTGGTTTTTAGATCTGAATTAATTTTGCTTTGAATATTGATAGCAAAGTTGAAAGGGAGTATGAAACGATACTGAAAAAGACGCTACAGAATATTTGTGTTTTGACAGTTGTTACAAATACCGCCACCTCAGTGATAATTCAGGTGAGTAGCTATTCAATGTTGTGTATATCGATATTGTCAACTTGAGTTGTATCTGATGTTTTCATTTTATAATTCTCGTGTAGGTTGTACATGATGGTGGTTATGTATCGTCTTTATGTTCCTTGCACCTTGGTAAACATTTACTGATGTTGTCTGAAACACATATAATCCGGTATAAACAATGTCTGTTTGAGTATTTATAGAGTTTATAGTAGTGAAAGTTTGTAATTCCATAAGCTGTGAGTGTGAATATGTATTTGTGTAACTTCTACCGTGGCTTCCATTCTAGCAGTTAGAACGTAAAAAACGTTTGTTCTAAAGAAAGATGATGTACAGAAAGGGAGACTATGAATGATGAAATTTACGAAGTTGAGAAATTTGCCTTGAGATTTTTCTTCTTTTATATTGAATGATCGAGCAGAGAGTGGGAGAGATTTATTTTGTTAAAGTTTTGTGGGAAATTAGAATATTTGTTGGGTTTAAAAGCATTAAGCCATCAATGAAATGGACTCGACCCATAGATATTGCACTCTAATAGATTCTAAAACACATATGGTCCATCCGTTATGGGTTATTTTCTTTATTCCATTTGACACTTATAATTAGAAGCTGATGTGTATTAATGAAATGTTTTGATTGGACGAATAAAAGCTGATGTGTCATCTCCAGAAGAGCCAAAAATGCTGACGTGGCGGAAGGATGGAGAGAGATAGCCTCCTTTCATATATATGATTAGAGCAGTTTTGTTTTGACCATTACTTGTTGTCTCTCTACATTCACTTGTTTAATTGTTGTATTTGTCAAGTTACAGCTCACCCGATATGTTGATGATCTCCAATCTGAAACTAGTCTCAGGCTTTTGCTAAATGAGCCCGTTAATCCAAAAGTACAACGGTGAGAACTGAGAAGAATACATTGAAACTGAATCGTACAAAAATGTTAGAATAGAATATGCAAACAAGTCAAAACACAAATAGTTATTTTCTAGAATTCTAGTGGGACTCAAAAGGCGAGCAGTCAATAAAAGAGGCGGCTTTGCACTCTCGTTTAGTCGCGTCTGCGGATTTTTAGTATCCGTTCCGTACATTCGTCAATATTCTAGTATTTTTTTATCCTATTACTATATACTGTATATTGACATGTAGTAGTCAAAATAACATGATCCAACTTATATTGAATGGTCTTTTTTTTTTTTTCCAAAAAGAATCTTTGTTTCTAAAAGAAGTTGTTGTTTATAACTAATCGAATCCAAACCATCCAAACTAAAAAAAAAAAAAAACTGAAATGTCCACCCATGTCCCATAGTATGTATATGTGCTTAAAGGTTTGAGAAAAATACAGAACAATGTCATAGTGACAATAAAATTTTGCCATCTTGAAATTAAGAATTATGGTGATGATAACTTTAGAAAATGAAACTGGTTGTGCAATATTGGGCTGACTGGTTCCAATTTTTCATAAATCTTTTAATGGGCTAAAAAACCTATGAAGCCCATTTAGCTTACAAAACTGAAAACCCCATTGTCCGGGGGTCAACAGAAATCTGACGTCTTAATCCAACGGCTTAAAAAAGTCCAATCGAACGGCTCAAAAAAGAAAGCTGTAGTTGTAAGGTAATAAGACAAAATAGCACCAGTTTCTCTTTCTCCCTCCATTTTCAGTAATAAGCATTCTATTTTTCTTTGTTTTATTGATAGAGAAATAGCAAACAAGAGAACCCATTCTTCTTTACCAAAAATTTTACATTTTTTTTCTTCGAATTCCTGGATAAGCTCAAAGGCTTCGATCGTACAGAGAGAAAAAAAAACCATGGTGAAACCGAAAGTTTTACTATTTCCCGGAGAAGACACGCCGGAACAGAAACCACCGTCGCCGTCTACCGAAGATCAAACTCGAGAGAGGTTTATTTTCTCTTCATTTTTTCTTTCTGTACATTCTCATTTTTTGTATTTTCATGAAAAGTTGCTTCCTTTTTGACCGATCCTTTGTTTTTTTTTGCTCATTTTTAACTAAAAAGTAGGGTTTACGGCTCTGAGAATATGGTAATGGGAGGGGATTCAGTAGAATCAGACGTTACTGAGCTAAACAGTGAAGGGTATATCAAAATCCTAGACCAGATTCATGAAAAAGCTTCATCAATTTTTGAGTTTTCGCTTCACTTTGATGATGTCAGTGACTCGCTGGAGAAGAGGGAAGAACGTCTGAGAGTGGTTGAAATGAAGGAGAAGGAGATTGGTTTGCTTGAAGAGTCAGTATCTCGTAGGTTAAGTGTTTTAGAGGAGAAAGAGATAGAGTCTGATTTGAGATTGGTCATTGAAGCAAGCATCATGAGATTGGTGCTTGAGAAGCAGAGTGAATATGTAGTGACACACCTTAAAACACAGGAGAATAAGCTTGGTTTGCTTCTCCATTCGACAACGAAAAAACTTGAAGATTTGATGAGTGAGTTTGACGGAAAGAAAGAGGAAGCTTGCCGGATTTTTGAGAAGTTTTGTGAGCTAGAGAAGGCAGAGAAGGAGTTTGAAATGAAACAAAGAGCTGAGACTGAGAGACTGAACGAGGAAAGTGAAGCAAGGGAGAAGGAGCTCAGGGAACTTGAAGAAGCTGTCAAAGAGAAGACTGCTGAATTGAAGAGAAAGGAGGAGACTTTTGAGCTGAAACTGAAAGAAGAAGCTGACAGATTGAATGAGGAGACTGAACTGAAGAGAAAAGGTCTTGAGATTAAGGAGAAGACACTGGAAAAAAGGCTGAAAGAGCTTGAGCTGAAGCAGATGGAACTAGAAGAAAGATCAAGACCACAACTTGTGGAAGCAGAGTCTCGAAAGAGATCCAACCTTGAAATTGAACCTCCCTTGTTGGTAAAGAATGATGATAGTGACGTTGATTTTCTTACTCCTCAAGCCAAAAAACAGAAGTCTCAGGAAGCAAATGATGGAGACATTGAAGGAATTGTCTGCACAGATGAAACTGATAAGGATCCTAAACCACTAACTTGTCTCGATACAAAGTTTAGTGATTTTAGCAAGTCAATGAGCTCTTTTGCTGTTGATCAAGTATGGGCTTTATATGATCCTAGAGATGATATGCCTAGGACCTATGTCCAGATCAGGGAAATTTTTGACTCCCAGTTGAGTTTGCAGGTGACATTGCTTGGACCTGTCAAAACTACAACAGGTGAGCAGTCTATTCTCAGTGGTTGTGGGAGATTCGAATATGGAGATACAGAGATCAAGAGCCACTTGATGTTTGCTCATGAGATGGATCACATCAAATGTGCTGAGAATGTCATTGTCAACCCGAGAAAAGGCGAAACATGGGCTCTATTCAGAGATTGGAATGCAAGTTGGAACAGTCAACCAGATCTGCACGAGCCTCCTTATAGATACGACTTTGTTGAAGTCATCTCTGAGTTTGAAGATCTTATAGGCATTCTAGTGGCCTATATGGGGAGAGTTGAAGGATTTGAATCGGTATTTAACCGTGCTGAGCAGCATGGATACATCAAGATTGTGATCCCACCAGGGGAAATGCAGAAATTCTCTCATAAAGTTGAATCTGTTAAATTGAGTGGAAAGGAGGAAGAAGGAATCCCATTTACGTCTTTCAAGCTAAACCCTGCTGCTATTCCGAGATACTATCATGTGCTTGAGGAGGTAGTGGAAACGAAAATACAAATTAAAGCTCCAACGGTTGTACATCAAAATGGTTCCACAAAAGATCTGCCCATAATAATAGATTGAGGGATTCAAGTCTGGTTGTTCACCTTTCTTATCTATGCAAATATATATATCTATGTAGAGTGCCACTGGTGATGGCTTTAGATGTTGCAGGAAGTAGTGAAACTGTAATCTTTTTGGTTTGTTTCTGTTTTCTCTATGAACCTGTCTATCTTTGAAAACTTCTTTTGTTCTAAATGAAAGAGAATGCTTCGACATAACTCACTTGTGGATTGCTCGTGACTTAAAGTTTCAACTTTGTTGTCAGATCGAAACAGTTTCACGGCTTGCCTTAAACCAAATGACCAGTAGGCAGTAGGATTTACATGATCATCTCCTATGTTGATAAATCTTTAGCTGAAACAATCTACTTGTTTCAATACAAACTGAAACAACAATCCCCAAGCTTTTGTATATCCTCGAAACTCAAGTTCTATTATTGAAACCAAATTCGTGCATTCACATAAACAACACAGAGCAGAAGAAAAAACTGAAACTTTAGAGTCTAATACATCATTACCTTATAAATACATACTTCCAAATGCTGTAACTATAGACAATATAAATGCCAAAGACAAACGGAAAGATCAGAACTTGATACGATCCATAACCTTTGCATCATCACTCAAAGCAGAGCTTTTTAACCATCATCTGCTGTTGTTGAGAATCGAACCGAGAGTTCCCAAAACAGCGAAAGCAAGCAAAGGGCTAACGTCAAGCGTATCAAACACTGGAGGAATAATGTTCCTGAAGAGATTAAGATAAGGATCACACAGATCTCTAATGGCTGACAATGGCTGACGATCCCATGGAATGTTTGGGAACCAACTGAGCAAAACTCTGACCATAAGAACACCACTGTATATATCGAGCCACTTCGATAGCCCCGCTGCAACTACTGTAAGTGGCGTGTTCAGATAACCGGCGGGCCGGTCACGGAGCGACGCGAAGAACAACGGACTCGCTGTTCGGATAGATGCTTGAATCTGTGGGGATATGTTTACAATTGCGACGGAGAGCTTCTGGATTAGGGATTTGGTTACGACGCCAGCTAGAAGAGCGAGGGTGGTGATCGATCTAGTTGAGTCGGAGAAGGGGAATTGAGAAGGGGGTTTAGTGGAGAGTACCGGAGACAAAGAGGTAACGGCGGAGGAGACGATGGTTCTAGGGTTATGGAGGGAGAGATTGAATGAGGGTTTACGAGGAAGGGAGAGACGGGGACGGAGGATCGGAGGAGGTAGTCTAGGGTTTGCGAGAATTGAAGCGCGAAGGGTGACCATCTTTGTTACTCGGCGCCGGAGAGGAAATACTCACTCCTCAAAATGTTTGTATGGGAGGAAATAGGGTAATATCTTTATTTTATTTTTGGTCAAAACTTTTTCTCTGTATAAATTTATTTTATTTACGAAACGAGCTTCTTTGTTTATTATTATTGGTCGACCAAAAACCAACAAAAAAAATCAAATTATATCAAAATAGTTGAACCAAAATTTTATGTCAACAAATAAAATTATTGCTCAAATATGTACTATTTAAAATAAATAAAAAGAATTATCTTTTAAATATGTACTATAGTCTCTTTTTTTCCCTTTTCCTTCCCTCAAAATTAATAAAATTTTTTTTCCCAATTTTATTAGGATTTCCCCAAATGGTTGTTTTTTCCCGGCAAAGATATTAACGACCATAAGAGTTAATGGAAGCATTGCTAAAAATAGAGGAGGATCATCCCACACCAGTCAAACCTATATGTATTCTCCGTCGTCCACCAAAATCTTATTTACCCACAATAAAACATTCCTCCACTACAAAAACTTGAGGGCAAAACAAAGGTTATTTGTTTGACAAGAAAACACAAAACACCCATTTTTGTTTATATTTGATCTTCCTTCCTTCTGGGGAATGCTAACCGAGGATTTGTTCGGCAGAAATGGAGCAGAAGAGCGTGTTGTTTTCCGCGTTAGGGGTTGGTGTTGGTTTAGGCATCGGTCTAGCTTCGGGTCAGAGTTTGGGTAAATGGGCAAACGGGTCTATTTCTGCGGAGGATGGACTTACCGGAGAGAAGATTGAGCAAGAGTTGGTTAGGCAGATTGTTGATGGCAGAGAGAGTAGTGTCACTTTCGACGAGTTTCCTTATTACCTAAGGTACATTGTTTGTCTTTTCTTGCATTTTTTTTTTGTCTCAGATTAATGATCATGATGTTAATCTTCTTGTGACGCTCGAGAGTAAGTTCAAGAATTCAGTTTTGTTGCCCAAAGTGTTCCTCGGGACTTGAGATATATGAATGTTTGAAGATGGGAACTTTCAGTTTTGTTAATAGATTGAAAATGTTGCCTAAATGGGACAATGTTGTAGTACTAATGTTTCTTTTTGATGTTGCAGTGAGAAAACTCGGCTTTTATTGACGAGTGCAGCTTATGTTCACCTAAAGCAATTTGATATCTCGAAGCACACGCGTAATCTTGCACCGGGAAGTAAGGCCATTCTTCTGTCTGGACCTGCTGGTAAACATCTCCTATCCTTTTGTGTTCCAACCTCAAACTTTTTGTAAATCAGATTTTGGTGTAATTTTGTTCTCTTTTACTCTACAGAATTCTATCAGCAAATGCTTGCAAAAGCATTGGCTCATTACTTTGAATCGAAACTACTGCTACTAGATATAACCGACTTCTCTATCAAGGTGATTCATTGCATACAAATTTAGTATGTTTGTTTGCTAAAGAACAGCTTGTAAGCTTCCTCTTTTCCTAATAATTGTTACAGATACAGAGCAAGTACGGATGCGTCAAGAAAGAACCTGTATGTTACTTGTGATCTTACGTAGTGTAGCTTAATTTTGTGTGTTGATACAGACAATGATTGTGCTTTCTTTCATCTCTAATGTTTGATAGTCTCACAAGAGGTCTATTTCTGAGTTGACAATGGACAAAATGTCTAATTTGATGGGTTCTATCTCTTTGCTCTCCCAAAAAGAAGCTACAAGAGGTACAATATCAAATCACTGGCCTTTATTTATTTTTTGCCCACAAAAGATCTCAAATGTTTGCATTCTTGTAAATTTTAGGGACCTTGCGTAGGCACACAAGTGGCAACGATCTTCATTCAAGGTACATTGTGTTGCTTTTGATATCTTGTTTGTTTTGTCAGTTTAATCAAATCTGGAATATAGCTTTATATGTTATATGCTAGCTCACTAGTTCCTTTTACGTAATACGTCAGGGGCTTTGACGTTACAAGTCATCCTCCGCGACTCAAGCGGAATGCTTCTGCTGCTTCTGATATGAGTAGCATATCATCCCGTTCCGCAACTTCTGTTTCAGGTATGTAAAAGCATTGAAATGAAACATTTTCTTACGTTTAACTAGGTCTAGATCCTCTTTAAGTCTTATTCTAGTTGTATTCTACTTCAGATTTCTAAACACTTTTTGTTCATTTGTGGCTGTTTAATACCATTCTAGCTTCAAGCAAACGCAGTGCAAACTTATGCTTTGATGAGAGACTTTTCCTTCAGTCACTTTACAAGGTAACACCTAAAGTGAAATCAGCAGGGCACAATTCAATTTTCGTGAAATTCTTAAACTGAACGATTGTTATCTTTACAGGTCTTGGTTTCGATTTCAGAAACCAATCCTATAATCATATACCTGAGGGACGTTGAGAAGCTTTGTCAGTCAGAAAGGTTCTACAAGTTGTTCCAGAGGCTCTTGACTAAGCTTTCTGGCCCTGTTTTGGTTCTTGGCTCAAGACTATTGGAACCCGAAGATGACTGTCAAGAAGTAGGAGAGGGCATTTCTGCTTTGTTTCCTTACAACATCGAGATCAGACCGCCAGAGGATGAAAATCAACTCATGAGCTGGAAAACACGATTTGAAGATGACATGAAAGTGATACAGTTTCAGGACAACAAGAACCATATAGCAGAGGTTCTTGCGGCTAATGATCTTGAATGTGATGACTTAGGTTCCATATGCCATGCAGATACAATGTTCCTAAGCAGTCACATTGAGGAAATTGTGGTTTCTGCAATCTCCTACCATCTGATGCACAACAAAGAACCCGAATACAAAAACGGGAGGCTTGTAATATCTTCCACTAGGTAATAAGAAATACAAACACAACTAAGTAATTATCTTCTTAAGCTAACTTAATAAATGGTTCTGCAACAGCTTGTCCCATGGACTGAGTATATTACAGGAAGGTAACGGATGCTTTGAGGACTCCTTGAAGCTGGACACAAACATTGACTCCAAGGTATATACAGTTCTGACCATGTGCTTTTAAATTTTTTAAGTGACTAAAATGTGAATGGCTCTGGTGCAGGTAGAAGAAGGTGAAGGGATAGTAAAGAGTGAGTCAAAATCTGAGATAGCTGTTCCGGAAGCCAAAAATGAGTCGGAAATATCAATTCCCGCAGCCAAAAATGAATGCCCTCTGCCTCCGAAAGCACCTGTACATGTAAACTAGTACATACATGATTCAACATTGATATCTTGATGTGTTTGCCTGAACATAGGTTTGATTTTCTTTATCCTGTCAATGTAGGAGGTGGCTCCTGATAATGAATTCGAGAAGCGCATAAGACCAGAGGTTATCCCAGCAAATGAGATTGGTGTGACTTTTGCTGATATAGGTTCACTGGATGAAACCAAAGAATCGCTTCAAGAGCTTGTCATGCTTCCTCTACGTAGGCCTGACCTGTTCAAAGGTGGCCTTCTAAAGCCCTGCAGAGGAATCCTCCTCTTTGGACCACCTGGTACTGGGAAAACTATGATGGCAAAAGCCATTGCGAACGAAGCTGGAGCTAGTTTTATAAACGTGTCAATGTCCACAATCACTTCAAAATGGTTTGGAGAAGACGAGAAGAACGTGAGAGCTTTGTTCACCCTTGCGGCCAAAGTGTCTCCGACTATTATATTTGTGGATGAAGTGGATAGCATGCTGGGACAGAGGACAAGAGTCGGAGAGCATGAAGCTATGAGGAAGATCAAAAATGAGTTCATGACACATTGGGATGGGCTTATGTCGAATGCTGGTGACCGTATTCTCGTTCTTGCAGCAACAAACAGGCCTTTTGATCTCGATGAAGCCATCATCAGGAGGTTTGAGAGAAGGTAAGCAGGCCCCGTACGCCTTTTCACTTGAAACCCTGAACTTGAGCTGTACTAACTCCAGCTTCTGCTTTTGTTTTGTTGGGAGCAGAATCATGGTGGGTCTTCCATCGGTCGAGAGCAGAGAGAAGATCTTAAGAACCTTATTGTCAAAAGAGAAAACAGAGAATCTTGATTTCCATGAGCTTGCGCAGATGACAGATGGTTATAGTGGAAGTGATCTCAAGGTTTGTCACGGTTCCCATCTCACTTTACCAACACCCGAATCTTCTCTTTTTGAACTGATTATTGTGAATGTTATACAAACAGAACTTTTGCACAACAGCAGCATATCGACCAGTGAGGGAGCTGATAAAGCAAGAGTGCTTGAAAGACCAGGTAAGAACTCCTCAAACTCCTTCCTTTATTTCCATACTTTCTAGCGCTAGTATGAGTTTTTAATGGTGGTTTCTCATAAAACTCAGGAGAGGAAGAAGAAAGAGGAAGCAAAGAAGAGTAGTGAAGAAGGATCTGAAACAAAAGAAGAAGTATCTGAGGAGAGAGTCATAACGTTGAGACCTTTGAGCATGGAAGACATGAAAGTAGCTAAAAGCCAGGTAAGTTAAAGAAAATTAGTTGCGTGTTGACGATGGTCATGCGCAAAACACTAACTGGTTTGCGTTTACAGGTTGCTGCTAGTTTTGCAGCAGAAGGAGCAGGAATGAACGAACTCAAGCAGTGGAATGATTTGTATGGAGAAGGAGGCTCCAGGAAGAAGGAACAGCTTTCTTACTTCCTTTAATTACTCCATCCACTCCTATCTACATCTTCTACAATGACATATTCTCAAACGTGTTTATAAGTTCTGTTATTTCATTAATTAGTATTATCATATTAAACATTGATTTCGGAGATTTTTGTAAATAAAACATGTACAGTTAATCTATCTCTTGTATCTTATTATATAAAGTTTAACTGTTTATGTCTTGCTTAGAGATGTACTAATAAATTTTTTATACTAATTCTAGTTGAAAACTCAATATTCATCGATGTGGCATGTGTAGCTTCATAGATTATTATTAGAATCAACACAGAACACAAGAAATCAGCTAGTAAGTGAGATGGATACTGGGATTTTACCAGCACATACAATGCAACACTTGAATCTACTCACTCTTTCTCTTGCGGCTAGCTCGAGCTAGCAGCTGGAATCTCTGTTTTGGATTCTGAATTTACAGCTTTGAGGTCTTGTAGAACTCCTCAGGAAGAGGCCCGGGACGGTACTGCGGAACATGTTTAGGTATCGGGGCATCATTCTCAATGACTTCGCACTCGCAATCATCTGGAACACTAGCGCAAAGAAACAAATGATAAACCACACTAACCTCCATTGCAAAATCAACCAAAACTGTAAGTAGCATTACAACATAAAGATGTGATTGTGTTCGAGCTATAGCTAAAAGCAACCACTAGCTCAAATTATAATGAAGTTTGCAATTTTGACATTGTACCTACACAAATTGCATTGCATCTTTAACAAACAAGTCAGAGTATGGATCACAGAACAGAAGTGAAGTAACACAAATCCCTATAAACTTTAACTGTGCAAAATGTAAATCTTTTTTTCAATTGCAAATGAGGAACAGAGGAAGAGTGTAACGAACCGATCATTTTGCCAACAAAAGTGAGCTCCTCGCGAGCTTCCTCAATGAGCTTCTCGACTACCACAACCAAGTCGCTTCTCAACGATTCTAGCCCAACGATCCCAGTCGTCTGCTTCACCTTCGCCAATTATGGCCGCCCGATCACACGCAGGAACATCTCCGCCGTTAGATACGCTTCTCTCCGGCGAAATCAAAATTTCGCATTTTCTGATTAATGCATTATCTATTTTGGCCCAATTTATATGGGCCTAAATATCTTAATGGGCTTCACTTTGGATAATCCACACCTAAGCAGAGCCGAGAAGTGTCTAATCGGAAAACCTAAACTGTGAAAATCTCCTATCTTCCGATATGAGATTTGTGACATCGTCTGCGGCCGGTGAGATTTTCCGACGTGATGAGCTTGTAGTGAGACGGCTCTTGAGCCAACGTCTGTGCTCTAAACTTGTTAATACCTTCTCTGAAACTGAAACCAAATTGAGATCGCTATGTGAGGATTCAAATCCTCAGCTCAAGAATGCCGTTTCAGTTTTCCAGCAAGCAGTCGACTCCGGTGGCTCTCTTTCTTTCGCCGGAAATAATCTCATGGCAACGCTGGTACGCTCTAGAAACCACGAAGTAGCATTTTCATTTTACCGCAAGATGCTTGAGACTGATACATTCATCAATTTCGTGTCGCTGAGTGGGTTACTTGAATGTTTTGTGCAAATGCGTAAGACTGGTTTTGCACACGGGGTTCTCGCATTGATGTTAAAGCGTGGGTTTGCTTTCAATGTGTATAATTATAATATCCTCTTAAAGGGTTTATGTAGGAATCTGGAATTTGGTAAAGCTGTTAGTTTACTGAGAGAAATGAGACAAAACTCTCTGATGCCTGATGTTGTTAGCTACAACACGGTTATTCGAGGTTTCTGCGAGGGAAAAGAGCTGGAGAAAGCATTGCAATTAGCTAATGAAATGCAAGGTAGTGGCTGTTCTTGGAGTTTGGTGACTTGGGGGATTCTGATAGATGCCTTTTGCAAGGCTGGTAAGATGGATGAGGCGATGGGCTTGCTCAAAGAAATGAAACATAAGGGTTTAGAGGCAGATCTTATTGTGTATACTTCTCTGATTCGAGGGTTCTGTGATTGTGGTGAGTTAGATAGAGGGAAGGCGCTCTTCGATGAGGTTCTGGAAAGAGGTGATTCTCCTTGTGCAATTACATATAACACGCTTATTCGAGGTTTTTGCAAGTTAGGACGGTTGAAAGAAGCCTCAGAGATTTTTGAGTTTATGATGGAGCGTGGAGTTCGCCCAAATGTTTACACGTACACGGGTCTAATTGATGGCCTTTGCGGTGTAGGTAAGACTAAGGAAGCCCTGCAACTTTTAAATCTGATGTTACAGAAGGATGAAGAACCAAATGTTGTGACATATAACATTATTATTAACAAGCTGTGCAAGGATAGCCTTGTGGCGGATGCTTTAGAAATTGTTGAGTTAATGAAGAAGAGGCGTACAAGACCTGATAACATAACATACAATAGTTTACTGGGAGGACTCTGTGCCAAAGGTGACCTAGACGAAGCAAGTAAGCTTCTCTATTTAATGCTGAAAGATAGTAGTTATACGGATCCAGATGTTATATCATTTAATGCGCTAATCCACGGGTTGTGCAAGGGAAACCGTCTCCATCAAGCTTTAGATATTTATGATTTGCTGGTCGAGAAATTGGGTGCTGGGGATATAGTTACCACTAATATATTGCTTAATAGCACTCTCAAGTCTGGAGATGTAAATAAGGCGATGGAACTTTGGAAACAAATATCTAATTCCAAAATTGTTCCAAACTCAGATACCTATACGACTATGATTGATGGGTTTTGCAAAACTGGCATGCTTAATGTTGCTAAAGGATTGCTTTGCAAAATGAGACTGTCTGAGCTACCGCCTAGTGTTTTCGACTACAACTGCCTACTGTCATCATTATGCAAAAAGGGAACCTTAGACCAGGCATGGAGATTATTTGAGGAAATGCAGCGTGATGACAGTTTTCCAGACGTGATTTCTTTCAATATCATGATTGATGGAAGTCTTAAAGCAGGGGATATTAAGTCTGCAGAATCACTTCTTGTGGGGATGTCTCATGCTGGTCTTTCTCCTGATTTATTTACTTATTCGAAGTTGATAAATAGGTTCCTGAAACTTGGATATTTAGACGAGGCTATCAGTTTCTTTGACAAAATGATTGATAGCGGTTTTGAACCTGATGCTCATATTTGCGATTCTGTATTGAAGTATTGTATTTCACAGGGAGAAACAGACAAATTGACGGAATTTGTAAAAAAACTGGTGGATAAAGATGTTGTCCTTGACAAAGAACTTACGTGTACGGTCATGGATTACATGTGTAGCAGCTCAGGAAACATGGATATTGCAAAACGGTTGCTAAGAGTGGCAGATGATAAAGAAGAAGGGGATAAGTGGGGTGCATAGTCATGCTCACTTATGCTAACTTGAGGACTATAAAGTTGGAGATGTGTGACTGAAGTGACAGAGGCTACAAAGTATGACTGGCAGACTGGGAAGGATGGTTGCAAAGAAGTTTTGGACTAGTGTGGTATTTATTCTTGGTGGAGCACCAGAGCTGATGAGCTCATTGCAAAGCAGCTGTTGCTTCATTTCATGATTTAATTATCAGATGACATGAGGGTACTATGGCAAATAGATTCTTACACATTTGAATGATCAATAAATGCAATGAAGAGGATCGGATACAACCATCTAGACCTGAATGAATATCTCAATGGTGGTTCTCATTAAACTCAGAAGGAGCAAGTGAAGAGGGATCTGAAGCAAAAGAAGAAGTACCTGCGGAGAGAGTCATAACGTTGAGAGCTTTGAGCATGGAAGACATGAAAGAAGCGTGTTTGACGATCTTGCAATCATGCGCAAAACGCTAATTGTTTTGGATTTGCATGTTGCTGCTAGTTTTGAAGCAGGAGCAGGGATGACCGAAACCAAGCAGTGGAGCAATTTGTATGGAGAAGGCGGCTCCAGGAAGAATGAGCAACTCTCTTACTTCCTTTAAGACCCCAACTACTCCTGTTTACATCTCGTTATTGTTTACAAATTCTCTTGTATCTTAAATTCTTATTATAGAAAGTTTAACTGTTTATGTCTTGCTTGGCTGTTAAGTCCGCACAAAGTTTAACTGTTCATGTCTTATCAAGTTCATTGCCATACTTTCACAGTATCTTATTAAAGAGATGGTTAATGCTCGGTTGACAGAACAAAAAAGGATGGTGAATCGGTTCATGTCCAAAGGATCCAACAAAAATCTTTAAAAATCTCAGCGTCCTGCAAAATCTTGCAAGTTTTTGGGAAGAGAGACATCCTGAACGAGAATATTACTTTCATTATCTATCATGTAAGACACGTCTAGTCCCTCCAGAACCAAGTGATAAACGATTTCTGCATTCAATGTATCTTGTGGCTTGTTCCGTTGCGACATTGATCGTATGTCCCATGACAGGACCTGCGTGATCAAACTCCTAAACTCTTCTGCTGAACTATATAGAGACTTCTTTTCCTGTGCACATAGCAACTATTTTGTTAAAAATCGCAAATGGAGAAGAGATGGTCAGGTCAAAAGTCACTCACTATTAGTTTCCAGCAGCTGGTGATGGAGGAAGAGAAGGTATCTGAGAAAGTCACAGAAGCCACAGCCAATAAGCAGTCCTCCTGAAATTCATATTTTATTAGTTTTAATCTTTGACTCTACCAACTCAGGCAAAGGACACAGTTACTCACAAATCACAATGATCTTCAACTCTCAGCAGTATTCAGTTACATAGACGAAAAGCTTAGAAAGGCGAATTCATAACAATGTACATACCTTTACCCAGTTTGGCACTGAGGCTCCTTGAATACTGTCCGAGTATGGTAAATAAGGTTTGATGTCGAGCACCGGCTGTCCAAACCCGTCAAAACAATCAATGAACTACGCAAGAGGCTTATAAGCAAAAGGTAATCAGGAATGCAGGGGAGAGGATAATTACAGTCCCATCCACCAGATCAACACCAGAGAGCCGAACCTTATCCTTTTGGATTTCCTCCACCTATGGATTAATACTATTACGTACTTTAGGTAAAGATGTTCAATATGTCTTTGTTAACTACAGGAGGATTGGATTACGTTCAGAGAACCTTAGCAACGGTGAGGCCAATGGGACAAGGTCGATGAGGGGACCGAGTAGCAAATACTCCCTTCCGTTCCCCGTTTAGCCTTGGCACTCTCACCTAAATTCACAATACCCCAAAAACCTCAGACTGAGAACATCATAACATACAAACAAACAAAATAAAAGAAACATACCTTTGCCTTGAGCTTCGACTGAGATGGTTTTCTCCATAGCTTCTCTATATCAGTGTTGAGATGAAACACGTATACTATCCAGCAATGAGAATACTCTTCCAGACCCTCAAGAGATGCAGGAGGAACCAAAGCCGGATCACAGACCAAACATGCCCTCGCAAGAGAAACAAGCAATGGCTGCCTCGGTGTCCCGTTCCTGCAAAAAACCAAGAATCAACACTTAACAGCCAACATTTTAGAACAGCATTAGGCTCCCCTGAAACTGGAAAACTATGAGGATCATTATACCTAGTAGAGAAGCAAGACCGTATAGTGCCAATTGGTCGCATCGGGTATATTGTGCTGTGTAAATCATGTGACTCAGTCTGTGCTAACGCCTCCCGTAAAGCCTACAGCTTTCAATTGCATCAGAGAGTTCCTCCAATCTTGACAAGAATCAATTTTGATGTGCATTTGAATGGTTTCATCTGATTTGAATCTATACTCATATATTTTGGAGAGAAGTACAAGTTAAAAGAACTTCACCTGCTGAGCTTTTACTCGACCTTTTCTCTCAGAAGCACTTTTCTCCATGGTAGATCCCAAAGACTTCTCAAGTTCCTTAATCCTATACTCCAAATCTTCTCCTCGTCTTCGCCATCTATACACTTCACAAGAACCAGCTCAATAAAAAGAGTTTCTCGAACCTAGTACCTGAGAAACAGGTACGGGCAATAAGAAGTGACAGAGAGGTAGAGAGAAAGAGATTACGCGAGACGGCAGCGGATACAGATACTACGGCGAGTGTCAAGGCTAAAGCCGCTGTGGTATAGCCGTTGGAGCTTCCTGCAATAGCCATGGATGAGCGAGCTGTTTGCTGTGCCGGCGAGTGGAACGTTGCGACGGCGGCGGGAGTCAAATCGGTTTTCTACTTTTTTTACTTTTTGTTATGGAAGAGACAGTGTTATTAATTGTAAGGCCCACCTAATTATCAAATGCTTATAAGCCCACCAACGGCCCACTGAATTTGTTGATTTTGCCTATATTTTAAGTTTTTTTTTTTGTGTAATATTCATTATCTCTACAATAATTATTTGAGAAGTAGAAACGCACCATATTGAAAGTTAGGGCATTGGAGGCCTGTGGTTAAAAGTTGGAATGATTTGTCCTAAACACCCTTAATGAATTGTTCTTCTCGAAATTTCTTCTTCTTCGTAATTAGGGGTATATAAGTCTAATCGTGTGTTGATCTCTATACTAATGTCCTAAACACCCTCGATTTCGAAATTTTTTGTTCTTAATTGTTAGGGGTGTATAAGTCTAATCGTGTTTTGAGATGATTAGTCTTAATTACCCTTAATTTTTTTTTTAATATAGTGTAATCGTTGGGGATACGAATGTCATAATGTCTCGACTTTAAGGATTATGGAATCTTAGCTTAAATTTATTTGTTAATTTTTTGGATAATTCTATATCTTAGTAGTTAATATTCGTTTTTGTTAGTTTTTTGATTTAGTTTCTAATTAAAAAAGTTAAATTTAGCTTTAATGAATTTGTATATTATATTGCGAATATTTGTTTCGAGAATATTTCTATTTTTTAAAAGTAAAATTTTGTAGATAATTATGATGGTAAACCCTAGATTTTCAACTATAAATATAGAGTCTTGGTCATAACATTAGCATTCACATTCGTTACCCTAGGTTTTTAGTTTTTGTACTATATCTCACGCTTGCTAATGATTTCGTGATTAATTATTTTGTAATTTGTTTTAGGTTTACTGGGCATGGGAGTTTTGATCCTGAATCATGGGAGTTCGTGATGTGTGTGAGAAGAAATCCACCACGTATGGGTGATAGAAATACCGAAATTCAATGAATGAGGAGATAAGTTTTTTTTTCCAAGTATAATTAGTAGTCATGCTCATGTTTTGATCTCTGCTTTTTATGTTTTTATATTTTATTTTATTTTGGATTCAAAGTAATAACGTGTTTGATGAGGTGCTTCGTAGATGGGACAATCAATTGTTTAAAAATCGGCATATATTAAACTCTTCTCGGCGGACAAACATAAAGAAACCCTAATTTTTTTTGTTTTATATCGATTAACTTCCTCTCTTTCAATTAGGTTTCCTTGACTCTTAGCAATCCATCGACGATGTATCGTCACTGGTGACACCAACTCCGTGTCAGTTTGTGACCTCCCATGCGATGGTTAAGGTACGCTATTTAATCAATTCTAATCTATTGTTTTTGTTCGATATTATTTTGATAAATCTTTTGCAATATCTAAATTTCAACTAAGATGCACGTGAAACAGAGTAAGTTATTCTATGCGGCTTTGATATTTGCACAACCGAACAATTCGTGTTTCAAAGTTTTTTTTCCTGTGAATTACAAGTTCTTTCTTCTTTTTTTTTTTTTGGTTTTAATTGATTTTGTTTAAGGGGGTTTGATTCGTATTTTTTTTTTTTTTTTTTGTAGTGCTTTGCATAATTTGATAAGCATGAAATTGTTGCGATCAGTTGTGGTTTATTGCTTGTGTTTTTCTGTTTTGTTTGATTTCTTTCTTATTTTGTTTTTCTTTCGAACCCAAGAGAGATCATAGGCAGACACTCAATTATTAGTGTTTTGTTAGAATCTTTCTTTGGCACATTGTCCCGTCGAGTTTGGACCCATGGCTTATGGGAAATTTTGACTTGAGACTGAAAACCGATCCTTTATCCACGGCTTATTATTTCGACATATGTACTTGGGATTGGTTTCAGTTTACTGGTCAAAGATCAAGTTACCCATTGCTTAAAACATCATCGGTCTTTAGACAGAGACCGAGATTCGGAAAAACCAATTCTTTAGACAAAAGATTGGATTGGGTTATGTTTGGTGGAAGGAAAATGGTACCCACGGCTTCTAACATTAGTCTTTAGACTGAGGCTGATTCGAACATTGATCCTTCATGGTACCCACGGCTTGAAAATCTCTAGACATGGATCATGTTCGTTTTGTTCTTTCAGTCTTTAGACAACGAAACAGTACCCACGGCTTAAACATCACCAGTCTTTAGACCAGAGACTGAGATTGGCTTATGTTTGGTAGAAGGAAAATGGTATCCACGGCTCAAAACATTAGTCCCCACGACTTGAAAATCTCTAGACATTGATCATGTTCGGTTTGGTTTTTCAGTTTTTAGACAAAGAAACAGTTACCCACGGCTTTAAACACCATAAGTCTTTAGACAAAGACTTGAGATTCGGAAAAAAAACAATCCTTAAGAGAAAAGATTGGATTGGCTTATGTTTTGGTGGAAGGAAAATGGTACCCACGGCTTAAAACATCATATGTCTTTAGATAGAGACTTGAGATTCGAAAAAACCAATCCTTAAGACAAAAGATCGGATTGGCTTATGTTTTGGTGGAAGGAAAATGGTACCGACGGCTTAAAACATCATATGTCTTTAGATAGAGACTTGAGATTCGAAAAAACCAATCCTTAAGACAAAAGATCGGATTGGCTTATGTTTTGGTGGAAGGAAAATGGTACCCACGGCTTAAAACATCATATGTCTTTAGATAGAGACTTGAGATTCGAAAAAACCAATCCTTAAGACAAAAGATCGGATTGGGTCATGTTTGGTTGAAGGATAATGGTACCCATGACTTTAAACGTTGTCTTTAGACTGAGAGTGATTCGAACATTGATCCTTCTTGGTACCCACGGCTTGGAAATCTCTAGACATGGATCA